GCACAGCTGTACACAGCCAGTGCTGCTGCAGCCACCGCCCTTCCCCGCTGTGCCCAAGCACAGTCCTCCTTCCTTTGGACCCCAATGCTCATACTGCAGCCCAAAAAGAAAGAAAGAGAAAAGCAGCTTTTTGGGACAGATCAATTTGAGGTCTTGGGCATGGTTCGGGTCGCTGACACTCTGCTGTACTCTTTTCAGGTGGGACAAAGCCCTAGCCGTCAGCAATAGTGAAGATTTGATATTTTGCTGGTCGCGCGGCACCATCCACAAATGGTCCGAGAGGTGGTGACCCCGAAATCCCTTGTCCCGCGGCCACACAGGCTGCTCACAAAAGGGACAGAAGTGGTACATTTTGGACTTTAGCAATTTTGTATGACCGGTCTTGTGCTTTACAGGCCCCAATGGGCAGGCTCATGCTCAAAACTTTCTCAGCAGATCGTGAGAGGTGGACGACGCACTTGTTGCTGTGTCGTCCCTATCCAACCCCACCTCTCGGAAATTTTAAAAGGTAGCGGCATCTCACTCGTGAGGTAAGACTCTCACTCACCTGCCTTCCGTGGCGTTCGAGCTCAGGCCTGCATTCCTACAGTTCGTGGTGCACCAATTGAGCTATGCTCCTTGGGGTCCACGGCCAGTCCCGGTATCGGGCCGCGTCCCAATATATTAAAATAAAAAATAGGAGAAAGGAACGAGGGGGAGGGGAAGGACGATGGGAATCCTGCCCTCGGTCCTCTTCATCAGCCTGCGATTCGGACCCCCACAAAACTAAAGGGGATAGTCCCACGGGACCCTCAACCCCTCAGTTTTTTTCTTCATAAGATGCTCCTCTGCTCCTTCGCTGCCGACGGCTGCTGGCCTTGATCCCCAGGTCTTCGTAGTCTCACTCCAAAGTTGTAACCTATAGGGCTATGCCCATGCCTGAGTTGGCTGCGTACTGCCCTGCATATGAACGGTAGTGGCAGCCAGCCAGGGCCTGCAACAGTCGTGCTAAGGCTGTTGCTTGATCTCTCATCAAACCCACGGCCCCGTACGCACGCACATGCTGTTAGGGGCCGGATTTTGCTCGGCCTGTCACGCTCGTAGCCCCCATAATGCCGCGCATAGAGGCCACTGCTTGCGTCTACGGTTCCTACGCACCAGCCCTTGCTATATGACGGGGCAAATTTTCCCCTTTGGCTACCGTCACACATGCAGCACAAGTGTGCCGCCACCTGCATTAGGGAGATGGAAGGAGTCCGCCTTGAAGGTCCGGCTGTCATAGAGACAATCAAACACCAGGTAGACCTCATGGTTCAATGGGAAAAAATAACCTTCATAAACTCAAAAGCAGAAATAAAAATGCAAATTCAATCTTTCTGTAAGGACTGGCTGGGAGGGGAACAATGGGGTTGGTTAGCGAACGTGCAATGGAAAGGGGAGGAGGGAGGGAGGGGAGGGAGGGATTGCGGAAAAGTTGGAAAGGGACTACCATTCCACTTTCATGATTTGACTAGAATTGACCCCTCCATCCCGTTGCAATCTCTCTCAGGCTTTCCTGATCTCTTCCCGCTGCCTGCAAACTCAATGGTCGAGACTCATTGGTATCCAGGTGCCTAAAAATGGTAAACTGTGGATGTAGGATGAGAACATTTTTTCAAATTGTCTGATTTCCTGCTCAGTTACTACCCTGGATTCCAAAATATTCATTGGTAGGGGGAGGGAGGAACTAGTGTGTAGCAGGAGGGATCTGGGGCCGGGTTCAGGGTGAAGAGGTTCCCCCCTCTCTCCAATTTTGCTCAGTCAATCCCCTGGATCCCAGGGTAATCAATGCTGGCAGGAACCTCACACAATCCTGTTTTGATCTACTCCAAATTCAGTCTGTATATGGGACGCTGGACCCGTTTTCCAGCAGGTGATGCTCCCCACCAATAGATGGAGCCTCTCCCCAGGTGCTAGTGCTTGCTCTTATACACATCTAGATGTGTATAAGAGACAGCCAATTCCCCCAGGTGAATAGATTCAGAAAGACAGGTCTTTGTCCTATTGCAGACAACGAGAGCATTTGAGATGTCCAACATATTAAAGCAATTTTATAATTAGACAGTTTTTTTGGTTGTCCTTGCAGTACCCCTTTCATTGTTTTTTGCAGCTCCCCTTTTACTGTGCCTCCTACGCACAAGGCTGCCCACGTTGATTGTGGTTGAGCGGCAGCTGCCCACATCCCCGTGTGCCTTCATGGCCCACTTGCACGTTATTTCAGGAGGCAGAGTAAAAGGGAAGGTATGCTCCTGTGCATCTCTTCAGAGATTCATACTCCTGTTCATTTCACTTCAGATCTTCAGCTTATGCAGTCTTTGTGTCCGTCCTTCATTGTGTGTGTGTGTGTGTGTGTGTGTGTGAGAGAGAGAGAGAGAGTCCTAGACAGAGGAGAGCTACTGAAAGCTGGCAAGCATAGTGGGCTTGCCAGTCAAAACCCTGTTCGTGTCTTGACATACATTATCAAGACTAAACATACACCAGTAAAGCACACTGGATAGAATGCATCCAAGGTAAACTAGCAAGTCAAAAGAATTGACAAATTTGCTGCCTGAGTCATTCCTGCTGTTGTATATGTGGCAGCAAGAGAGGTTTAGGCACACGCCCACACCACCAATAGGAGAGTTTAGGTACACTCACCGTCAGCACAGTCTTGAATTTTTGTGAAATCTGTACGTAAAAAGTCATTCACCCACGTAAGCAGCTCCTGCACACAACATCAGGCACAACATGCACCGACTTTGTCACTCAGAGTGAGGATAAGCTTCACCTTCGCCTTCGCCTTTGCCTTTGCCTGTGGAGCAAACCAGAAAGATGGAAGCACGTTGACATGGCGAATGATACGCTTGGCTTTGTTCTTTGCAGCAAACAGGAAGGATGTGGGCAGGATGACACAGCACACGATAGGCCTGGCTTTTGCGTTGCAGCAAATAGGAGCCATAAGAAATTTATAACGGTTCCACGTAATGGTTTGGCTTCCATTCGATGTAATGGTTATAGCCCCATTTAGTTCTATGTAAGTGGTTATGGTCCCACGTATTGCTTACAGTTTCCATGCAACGACTCCACAAAGGCAGGAGTTGGCCTTTCATGTAATGGTTTCATATGACAGGAACGCAGACTCCCGCCTTCGGGGAACCGTTACATGGAACCACTAGCTTGAACTCTATTTTTCTCATTCTGCTCCCCACCTCTCTTCCCTTGCCGGACTAACCACGTGCCCATTCATATGTTGATTAAACTTCATTTGCAACTCTGTCCCTCTGACCATCTCTGCGTTTTGTCTCTCTGAAACTCTGCTTGTCTCTGCCTCTGTCTCTGTCTCTCTGTTTGTCTTGTATGTCTGGGTGTCTCCATGTCTACCTTTCATTCTTTTTGTTTTTCGGAATCAAACCAAAAAACGGAGAGAACACGCCACATTACAGTTGTGCCACCAATTGTGCAGAGCATCGCCCTGCTCAGGTCTCTCTCTCTCTCTCTCTCTCTCTCTCTCTCTCCCTCTCTCTCTCTCTCTCTCTCTCTCTCTCTCTCTCTCTCTCTCTCTCTGTGTGTGTGTGTGCTGTCTCTTATACACATCTAGATGTGTATAATAGACAGCCCCGGGCCACTCTGGTAGCCTAGGGGAAATCAGAAAAACAGAAGTTAGCGGGGGGGGTGGAAATATTTGTAGAAAATATAATAATGAACAAATTGAGCGCAAATGCACGGCAAAGGCAGTTCAACGGAACTTCAACCAGTTCCAATGAATCTAATGATTCTAATCTCATTGAATTGAGGAAGAAAAAAAGAAAAAAACATTGAACTGACTTAGGGGATAAGAGGAATGGAATACACTACCACTCTCCGTGCTTAAAGGCTATAATAATAGAGACCAACCCAACCCAGCCTATGCGACTGTATGGCACACACACATGCTAACAGTTGACGAACAGATCATGAGCTCAAATCCTCACGTCTACACAGTAAGGTTAGGGGCTACCCCCTTTTGGCCAAAAACAAAGGGGTGGTAACCAACAACCCAGTCCATAAAATTGTTTCTAAACATACCATGTGAGGATCAGGTGAGTAGAATAATGGAAGGGGCTACCCCTTTCGGAAAGAGTTTCATGGGCTCTCCCCTCCATGTTTGGGGCTACCCCTTTTTACAAACTGTTTCTTAACAGATCACGAGTTCGGATCAATAGAACGGAGCCTGGTTGAAAAAAAAAAAAAAAAAAAAAAAAAAAAAAAAAAAAAAAAAAAAAAAAAAAAAAAAAAAAAAAAAAAAAAAAAAAAAAAAAAGGGAGTTCGGATCCTGAGGGAATCAGATGAACACGACAACTTCAGGGGCTCGCCCCTTCAAAGGGAAAAAAGCAAAAAGCAAAAAAAAGTGACCAACAACATCTGGATGTCGGGGTGTCATGCAGTCCACAGAACATGGCATCCCCCCTCTTCCCACTTCCTCTTCCCCCTTCCTCTTCCCACTTCCACTTCCCACCTCTGGGTAGATGTCAAAAAATAGTACCACGAATTCGGAAAGTAATAACAAGAAAGTGAGCTCAACAGAGTTCTTTCTGCAGCACAAGAGTTTGTGTTCTCTCAACGAAGACGAAAGAGCTCCACGGATTTTATCCGGATGAAGGACCTTGTTCGTCTGCGGAGTGACCGGAGTCTGACTGACCCTCTTCGCTGCCTGTAAGAGGGTTGGTTTCCCTCCCCAGCTGCTACTACTATAGAGCCTCCATGTTATCTTTCCCACTTGTCAAGCATGGACCACCTACCTTCTCCCTTGTCTCCTTAGTGTTTTGTCTTTTTTCTTTCCCCGGCCGGTTGTTTGGATTGAAAAAAAGTTTTTGAAACCGATTGACTGTGTTTGAAAAGATGCAGTACCACAAGTCAGATTTTCTGTCAGCAGCAGCACAAGAAGGAACTCACCTGGATTTTGCCTCAGCTTCCGGCCTTGTCTTTTTTTAAGAATAAAAAAAAAAAAAAAAGAAGGAACTCACCTGGAACTTTCCTTTGGCAATCGCTTGTATGTCAAATTCTTTTTTGATCCCAAGCTTGATCAAAGAGTCTTCGAGAACTCGCAGATTTCTTATGTTATCTTCTACGAATCGAGCGTGAAAGTTCAGCTTCTGCAGTGGAACCTGGCGTTTGTGAACAGAACGGGGGGGGAGGCAACATCAACCCGGCAACTTAAAAGTTAAAAGTTAAAACAGAGCCTACATAGTTAGTACACAGTACTACACACTGATGTAAACAGCAAAAGCGAATAATATCTGAACGCCAGATACAAGCAAAAGGGTTTAAAGGACTGATGCAACAACAGCACAGCAGCAGCAGCAGCAGCAGACAAAAGCCAATCGTCCATACGGATGGCTGGATACTAAAATGAAAAATACTAAGGGCATACTCACACCAGGCACTCAAACCCGCACAATCGCAAAATCAGCGGCCAGATCAAGTCCTTCTTAAAGGAGAGGAGGACTCAATCTGGCCGCTCATTTTGGGAGTCTGCCATTTTGCGGGCCTACCGGTAGTGTGAGTATACTCTAAAATAGTAATCACTGCTAATCACTGTAGTCAGTTAATTAGAAACACATTAGGAAAATGATAAATATGAGTAGAAATTTACTAGAAAATAAATATGAGTAGAAAAGGTATCCCCTGCACATACGACAATGAAACCACAAAAGTACATACGATGCTAAATGTGCGACCCAAATCTGGAATTTTGCCGAGCCTGAAAGTTGATGGATACTACCACCGCAAGGAGAATTCAGTGCCGTACCGGTACCGCCCTCTATGCTGCACCTGCTGGCAGCAGATGGAACAAAAGGAGGCAGTTGTTTTCTCATTTTCCACTGATGTGCCAACCTCTATGCTGCACCTGGCCGGATGTGCAGTCGGATACATTCTGGAAAGTGCTGGTGGGAGATCATGAAAATTTGTAAAGGTATACCTCACTTTACAAAGAGCCCATAAGAAAAAATACAGGAAACAAAAAACAAAACTTCAAGCCCCAAAATAAAAGAAACAGGGAAAACGGAAGAAAAAAGAAAAAAAAAACTTGGAGAGCAGTTTTTGACACCACCATCTTTGGCTATTTTTCTACTGTGGCCCAAAAATTAATGGCCATCTACCTCAGCTGACGGAGAACCTACAGAAAAGAAAAAGAAAACAAAAAAAAGGAAAAAAATCTTTAGGTCTAGTTTTGCAGGATCGGACACAAGGGTCCAGGAGGAGGTTTGGCCCAACTGTCCGGTCGGACAACTCGGACGGTCAGGGGTGTCCCGGACGTCCGATGATCCCGATCAAGTAAAACAGGTCCTTATGGTCGACATTGGTCGTGGCTCCATGTCCATTCCGGGGAGCATCAGTCGAGTTCCTATTGCACCGGGAAGTCAAATGTACAGCCAGAACACCCTCACGCTTCCTTCCCTTTGGCCGAAGGACCCCTGACCAGCATGATTACTCCAGAAATCTGGAAGATTGACTGTCAGCTTGCCGCCCCTCTTCCTTTCCTCTCAGGTTTGTTTACCCCAAACCTGCCACACTGGAATAGAGGCCTTGCACAAGGGCCTTGTTTATTAAAAAAAAAAAAAAAAAAAAAAAAGTTGATAAAACCAAGAAAGGAATAAAAGATGAGGAAGTCAAAACTGTCAAACCCGTGACTGCTTCTTGGACGGTCTCCAGCACTCTGACACGCCTTCAAGTTTATGTCGCCTGTATGTATTGGGTCTCTGTCCTCTACATCACGCTTTCTGAATTGAATTGTGCCCATCTTTCCAGCGTATACTGGAGGCGCTTATGTCCGCTAGCTACCTTGCCTCCTCCTAGCCAGATCCTCGTAAATTTCGCTTGGGTTTTCCGTTACAGGTCCACATCATCCGCGGCATAGACTGCTTTGTTTTCTGCCACTTGCACATAATCTCTCTCTGCCTGAATCATCGACCTACCTTGTCTCCGCCCAGACTCTTTCTCTAGGAGAGGAGAGGCCTTCAAGGGTTCTGCAGCACCTTTCCTTCCATATCAACCAAAGTGTCACGTTTCTGATCATGCCGAACGGATCCTATGTCTTCCGAAAGTGGTTAGGGATGGATGTTAATCCATAGGAGAAGTTGGATGGGGTGCTCGGCAAAGGGGTAGGTAGGGACAAGGGAGTCCCGGAGGTCAAGTGCCCTACTAGCCCAGTACTCCTCCCCGTCGCCTCTGTACAACTTGTTAGGCAGTGTATAATAGCTTCCAGTTCGTTGTTCGAACAGACCACGCATAAATCTGCGCTGCTGGAATCGGTCCTCCTCCTTCCAATATGCTAACCACCCACTGGTTGACAGGGAGGGCCACATCATATGATACAAGCCATTGGAGGCTTCTGATTTTGACCGGCCGTATTGTTTCAAAAAAAAAAAAATTCCACGGTATTTGTGATATCTGGTTAGCGTCCTGAGTCTCCTGCCCAATTAGCTTCAGCCATCTGTTGTTCTTGATTGTGGGCAAATTAGCGTTCAAGCGAGAGTGGTGCATCTGGCCATATTCTAGCGGGAAGTTCATTCTCATTTTGCACATTTCGAGAGTGGTGTGGGGATCCCCATATTCATGAGTACACAGTTATTAAATTGGGATACAACTTAAACTGGGATCCTTAGTCTTGAGAAGTACGTTGTAGATCCTTAGTCTTGAGAAGCAAGTTGTATCCCAGTTTAATAGCTTTGTACTCGTGAATATATATGGAGATACCCACACCACTCTCGAAATGTGCAAAATGAGAATGAACTTCCCGCTAGAATATGGCCAGATGTACCGGCCACATTTTTGTCTTTTGGCGAGGCCCTATATATGGATAGCCATTCTGATATTCTTGCTTCTGCCTGGTGTGTCCAGGGACTCCAGGCCCATTCCGCCGGATCAAATTGACAAATTCCATGTCGGGAATTGCCGTATCCAGTCTCAAGAGTGTTTTGACTTTTTGCCCACACTCCCATCACTCTTACTTTTGCTGATCACCAAAAGCTTGAGGACTGTTTGTTTGTTTCACATCTTTCTTCAGTATGGAGGCGGTTTCATGTGTTGTTGTGGAGGTAATTGGAAAGGAGGTGAACACAGCCATGTGTTACATGCTGCGCCTGCAACAGGCTGCACGGGCCATTTCCAGGCCCGTGACATTTTCAGGCCAAAAGCCTGAAAACAAGGGCCTACAGGCCCTGTTTCGTTTCAGCCTGGAAGCCTGAAAACAAGGGCCTACAGGCCCTGTGTCATTTCAGGCTAAATCAGGGCCTTTCCGGCCCTGAGTGTTTTCAGCCTGAAACTGAGATCCATTTCCGGGCCCTCATCGGTTCGACCTGCCCTGAAACTCAGGCAACAAACCAGGGTTTTAGCACAGGCCATTTCGGGCCTGTTTGCAAGACAACCCCTGGTTGAGCTTCAACGCCAGAGTCTGGCATGTTTCGGCATTGGCAAGAGCAGCCTCCTGGACGGGCCAGCACTATATAGGACTGGCCCGCCCTGCAGGCAGGCAGGTAGTTCCTAGGTACTTCCCAGGCACTTCACGTGCAGTTCAGGAGGCAGGAGGTAGTCTTCAGGATTCGGCATCAGCACTCTGGAGGAGCGCTGCAGGAGTAGTAGCAGCGTTAGCAGTAGTCTTCAGCGCTGGGCGCTAGTAGCGTTAGCTGTAGTCTTCAGCGCTGGGCGCCATAGCAGCTAGAGTARTACTAGAGAGAGAGAGATTGGGCGGAGGCCAGAGGGACTTACCTGCAGCGCCATTGCTCCAGCTTCGTCTTCGAGGTACCTGCAGCACAGCGCCATCTTCACAGGTTAGTACCTGGCACATGAGAGAGAGAGTTCTTCTTCTTCCTCTTCTCAGTCCACCATCTCCTTCTCACCCTCTGGCTATCTGACTTCACTGCATCAGCAGACTACGAGGGAGAGAGAGAGAGCTTGGTGACATTTGGATCCAGACTCGACGTTGGACTTCAGACATTTTGAAGAGGGATTATTTGGGACTTGTAACGAGACTTGGTGTTGACGACTTTCCCATCTCCCCCTTCCTCTTCTTCGTCTGATCCCCTCCTCTTCGTCTGTGTATGTCTGGACCTGGCGCCTCTTTCTTGTGTATAGCGCCAGGCCTCTTCACACCTTGTGATGAGCATGATGTATGTTTGGTCTGCGTTGAAACATTGATTGGGCTAGTCATTAGTACTCTAGCATTCTGCTTCGCTATCTTGTACTTCGTGAAAGCGGTCAGTTCCGGTCAGGTCAGGACTTGTATCTAAATCTTCCACTGCGCTATAAAACACCATTTTGTATGTATCGGAATGCACATTGCTTGTTGAGATTCCACTTGCACTGCATTGTCCATTCAGTCCTTTTTATCACATTGCGGATCCTCGGTTTATATGTACATCGCCCAACTGGGAGTCTGATCCCTGCTGTTTATGAGAGAATTGGAGGGCCCTTGTAGGCATTGTTTTTTTTTCCTGGACCAGCACTTCTCACTACCCAGATTTCCATTGGGGAGCTTCTCTCGCCAACTCCTGTTCAGCCTTCTGGGATACATTTGATGATACTTTGTAAGTTTTTTCATCTCATTGGCGGCATCCCTTGACGTGGGAAGTGGGCTCCTGTTCCGAAATCCAGTTCTTTTCTCCTCGTCCCAAAAATATGGCTAACTTTCCATACTCCATGACTGATCCATGAAAACCATCTCCCCTCCCCTTTGGCTTAAGACAGAGAGAGGGGGTGATCACTTCACTTTCATCTCTCACCCAGGGATTCCCAAAGAGTGGTTGTCTTAAGACTTCCTCTTGGCGACTTGGGTCTGCGTAAGTTCTTCGGCATGATTTCCTGCCATATTCCCAGCATAAACCAAGGCATGATCCATTCCTTATTCATTACCCAGAATAAACCGAACACGTTTGCTGGTGTAGCTGTCGGGGCTAAACTCCTGAGGCTGTCCAAGGCCAGCTTGTTCCAACTAGACCTGGTCTGGTCAGGAGCTTAAAAAAGGCCCTCGCTCCACTACACAGCACTGTACATGCATTTGGACGCTTTCTTGACTGGATACATTCACAACGTTGGAATCGTCCGAATGCACCTGGTCCTATGAGCGTCCAAATGCATGTGTACAGTGTTGTGTAGTCGAGCGAGGCCGAAATTCTCACTTGACTTGAAGGACTCTTGTCTCTTGCTTGGGATCTATAATGCCAACTCCTCCTCTGACTGGTTTCCTTGTGATATAATGCCACACTATCTTTGGTATGAAATTTTCTTTGTTAGGGTCACCCGACCACCGGTAGCCTCTTGCTTTGAGAGTATGTTTTGAGCCATTTGAGACACAAAACTGTCTTTTTTAGTGAGTAGGATTCCCAGAATAGTGTGTGGGTGTGTCAGGTCTTCCCCACGGCATGTTACTCTCGGGGCCCTGGAGTTGGGAGGACTTGGTCGTCAGATGGCCACCACACCATCCACCAATTGTTTTCTTCCAATTTATCTTCATTTCTGATGCCAACCTGAAGTCGTCCGTCGCTCTCAATAGCGCACTGAATGAGGAGTCAGACAGAGGCAAGGATGAGGACCGTAAGATACATCTGCAGACATTATTATTGTTGGAAAATGCAGGTGGTGGGGCGTGCTGACATTGACCTCTGGTAGTCTATGGATTGAGGCCCTTTGAGGGGTCTTTTGGCAGGAATGAGGCAACTGCCTCCACAACGAGAAAAAATTTGGAGGAGATAGCGGGTCCCCACCGTGTCTGACTTAGCTTGAAATTGGCGCAGTCCGAAAGGCCATTGACATGGACACACAGCCCATCGCATCGTTATACAGAATTTGAAAATTTGTTTCTTGAACCCGGGCGGCGCCAACCCCCCCATTCTTTCCATGCTCGCGTTGAGAAAGGAGACCCAATTAACCTGATCGCAGACCGCTGTGTTAAATTTAAATTGTTAATCATGAACATAAGAGGATTAACAATTTAAATTTAAGTTTATTTAACACAGCAATCCTTCTCAAGCTCAAAGAAAAGGATTGCTGTGTTAAATTTAAATTGTTAATCCTCTTTTGACTCAAAAGTTTCGAGTCTTTTCTCTGACATTTTTTGCCTGCTTTGTTGAAAGTTAGTACATTAAGAAAGAAAAATGGGCGAGCAGAAGCAAGATTGCTGTCCTACTCACCTTTCCTGGGAAAACAGCATCAAGTAATTGGCAATACGCCACTCCTGCAAAACACCGGCAACACCAAATAGAAGAAGAGGGTCAGCCAAGGAGGAAGGTATGAAAGATAAGGAAACTAGGGGACCTGTTGCGGCTTTGCCCACAATAATAAAAGAATTGGAGGGTTTGGTGCTGGTTGGATTTGAACTAACCTGTTGTGTCTTTCACTTCCCACACCTGTCTCCAGCTTACCACAATTTCCCCTTAGATCGCAAGAAGTATTCTTTCTCAGATGTCAGGAGATACGCAATCCTGCATACAATATTGCGCTGTCTCTCTCTCTCTCTCTCTCTCTCTCTCTCTCTCTCTCTCTCTCTCTCTCTCTCTCTCTCTCTC